CTCCTCATAGGGCTTGTTCTCCAGACCCTTGATCATTTGAGTCGCCCTCCTCTGGACACATTCCAGCTAGTCAACATCTCTCTTGAGTTGTGGTGCCCAGAATTGGACACAATATTCCAGGTGTGGTCTAACCAAAGCGGAATAGAACATGGGGAGCAGGACTTCCCTGGATCTAGACACTAGGCTCCTCTTGATGCAGGCCAAAATCCCATCACATTGTTGGCTCATATTTAACTTGTTGTCCACGAGGACTCCAAGAACCAAGGCCATCAAATCCAGAACTGAAAAGTCGACAACAGATCCCAAGTGTAGACTCTGCAAGGAAGCAGATGAAACAATAGATCCCATCCTCATCTGCTGCAAGAAGATTGTGCAGACAGACTCCAAGCAGAGGCACAACACCGTTGCTCAGATGATCCATTGGAACTTGTGCCATAAACACCATCTGCCTGCGACAAAGAACGGGTGGGATCACAAGCCGGAAAAGGTTACAGAGAATGAATACGTCAAGCTACTCTGCGATTTCCGGATTCAGACAGACAGAGTTTTGGAGAACAATACTCCTGACCTCACAATCGTGTTTTTTTTTTAAAAGTATGGATAGTCGATGTCGCAATCCCAGGTGACAGCAGGATTGCAGAGAAGGAACTGGAAACGCTAACACGATATGAGGATTTAAAAATCGAACTGCAAAGACTCTGGTGCAAGCCAGTCAAAGTGGTCCCAGTGGTGATGGGCACACTGGGTGCAGTGCCTCAAGACCTTGGCCTGCACTTAAACACAATCGGTGCTGACAAGATTACCATCTGCCAGCTGCAGAAGGCCACCTTACTGGGATCTGCACGCATTATTCGCCAATACATCATGCAGTCCTAGACACTTGGGAAGAGTCCGACGTGTGATCCAATACAACAGCCAGCAGAGTGTCTGCTGAGGACTCATCTTGTTGTGTTTCAAATAATAATAATAATAATACATCACACAGTCCTAGACTCTTGGGAAATGTCCGACGTGTGATCCAATTCAGCAGCCAGCAGAGTGTCTGCTGTGGACTCATCTTGTGGTGATAATAATAA